TTTCGCGACCTCAGAATTCCCGATATTCGCATTTGCGGTGAATTCTCTCTTGTATGAATGTCGATGATTCACCCTGCGAGTGAATAGACCCACCCATTGTATGTGGCTTCAACGCAAGGCTTATCATTTTACCCAAAACTCACTTATAACATCACATGTTTTCTGCGCAACATTGCAACGCTTGTAGAGGTAATAATAACAGTAGTAGAGTAAAGTGTACTCTACTGTAGAGGTAATAATAACAGTAGTAGAGTAAAGTGTACTCTACTGTAGAGGTAATAATAACAGTAGTAGAGTAAAGTGTACTCTACTGTAGAGGTAATAATAACAGTAGTAGAGTAAAGTGTACTCTACTGTAGAGGTAATAATAACAGTAGTAGAGTAAAGTGTACTCTACTGTAGAGGTAATAATAACAGTAGTAGAGTAAAGTGTACTCTACTGTAGAGGTAATAATAACAGTAGTAGAGTAAAGTGTACTCTACTGTAGAGGTAATAATAACAGTAGTAGAGTAAAGTGTACTCTACTGTAGAGGTAATAATAACAGTAGTAGAGTAAAGTGTACTCTACTGTAGAGGTAATAATAACAGTAGTAGAGTAAAGTGTACTCTACTGTAGAGGTAATAATAACAGTAGTAGAGTAAAGTGTACTCTACTGTAGAGGTAATAATAACAGTAGTAGAGTAAAGTGTACTCTACTGTAGAGGTAATAATAACAGTAGTAGAGTAAAGTGTACTCTACTGTAGAGGTAATAATAACAGTAGTAGAGTAAAGTGTACTCTACTGTAGAGGTAATAATAACAGTAGTAGAGTAAAGTGTACTCTACTGTAGAGGTAATAATAACAGTAGTAGAGTAAAGTGTACTCTACTGTAGAGGTAATAATAACAGTAGTAGAGTAAAGTGTACTCTACTGTAGAGGTAATAATAACAGTAGTAGAGTAAAGTGTACTCTACTGTAAAGGTAATAATAACAGAAGTAGAGTAAAGTGTACTCTACTGTAAAGGTAATAATAACAGAAGTAGAGTAAAGTGTACTCTACTGTAGAGGTAATAATAACAGAAGTAGAGTAAAGTGTACTCTACTGTAGAGGTAATAATAACAGTAGTAGAGTAAAGTGTACTCTACTGGAGAGGTAATAATAACAGTAGTAGAGTAAAGTGTACTCTACTGTAGAGGTAATAATAACAGTAGTAGAGTAAAGTGTACTCTACTGTAGAGGTAATAATAACAGTAGTAGAGTAAAGTGTACTCTACTGTAGAGGTAATAATAACAGTAGTAGAGTAAAGTGTACTCTACTGTAGAGGTAATAATAACAGTAGTAGAGTAAAGTGTACTCTACTGTAGAGGTAATAATAACAGTAGTAGAGTAAAGTGTACTCTACTGTAGAGGTAATAATAACAGTAGTAGAGTAAAGTCTATTCTACTGCTAAACTCTAAACTATAATGAATTGCTCTAAAGTGTACTCTGTAGTAGTGCTACTTTCCTACTTATTAGCAAACCGCTATACTAGTCCAATCTAACAGCATTTCACCAATGTCCCGTTCACAATCATTATCTCCCACTCCACGAACGAACAG